GCATGCACCACCACGCCCAGCAATTCTGTCATCTTCTGCGGTGTTTCCTATTTCATTGCATCTTCTGTTTTGTTTTACCACAGCATTTTTGTGTTTTCTTTGATATGCATGTGTGTGCACATGTTTGTATTTGTGTCTGATGGAATATTTTTATTTTTCTAGTAGTGCTTTTATATAGATTTCTCTGCCAAGAGAAGAAAACCTTCAAACGGAAGGAAAGAATTATATTCTCAAAGGCTAAGCTTTGGCACCGCCATTCTGTCTTCCAAATCTTGATGTCTTTTCCTCAGCATTAAAAAAAAAAAAAAAATGGCGATAGTCTCACTCTGAAGCTGAAAGTTCAGGGTAATCAAGAGACTGAGTGTGCAACTGAGCTGCTGCTTGGGCCAGCCACCCACATCAAAGGGCCACCGTGCCAGGAAGGGATGCTGTATCTCATCTCTTATTTCAAAACCTCATGTGAATATCTTTCCCTCAACAGCCAGCATACTTTATTCAACAGTGTCTTTTACTTGTCCATTTCTCTACACAGTATCTGAAAATAGTCAGAGAGGCCATGAATGGAAAGCATTGACTCTTCTTGCTATTTGTTTCTATATATATCAAGATCAGGAGCCAGATTGTTGCCTGACAGCTGGTCTTTGTGAATACAGTGGTGGTGTGGTTTGATGCACAGATGCAAGTTTTGTTTTGTTTTGAATCTGTGAATTGATGCAGCTTGATGGGTGAGCATACAAAAAGATAATGATGCACTCAAAACTGGTTTATTTGGGGAAGGCTTATTTACACACATGTGGATGTAGGAGCACCCCACGGGACAGTGTGACAACCTGTGTGAGCAGCAGCAAAGTTGTTTCTACCATTTGATCTGAAGCAAGAGGGGAGAGAACTGGGGACATGATCAGAAGGGAGGAAACTGGTAGAAGAGGCTGCCTTTGGAGGAACAATGGCCTCTTGAAGAATACACACAACCCATGGGGGACTCACAGGCAGGTCACCAGGCGATCAGGTGCCTCATTTCACTCTCTTCCTTCTCCATTTCCTGCTGGGGTTCCTCATGGCTGAAGCCAACTGGACCCGAGAGCTCATCTCTAATCTTGCAAAGGAATTCAGGGATAAACAGAACAAAAAGTCATCAAGCACATTTCTCTCATGCCTTTTGAAAAGATTTTTACCGCTAACGTATATTCCCCATGCCAGTGGTACTCCCATCAGAGATGCTTTCAGTTACTAGTAATAGAAACCTTGATTTACAATGGCTTTCAGCAGGAGAGATTGACTTCTGGACTGTGAACAAGCAGGCAGACACTCACATGCATTCAGTGGCTCAATAATTCTCTCAACCTTTACTTTGCTTTGTTCTGGTTATGTCATATTTACAAGATGGCTGTCCAGCACCAGGCACCATGACTGTTCAAGTTAGGAAGACAGGGGAAGAGGAGGGCTGGCGTGTACAATTAACTTATTGAGAAAACAAAAGTTCTCAGAGAAGGATCCTCAGCAGATATTCCATCAGTGGTTTATTTGTTTGTTTGGTTTTTGGTAGTACTAAGTGTTGAATCCAGGATCACTCTACCACTGAGCTACATCTCCAGTCCCGCTTTTTTTTTTTCCTAAAGAGAGAGAGGGAGAGAGAGAGAAAGAGAGAGAGAGAGAGAATTTTAATATTTATTTATTTATTAGTTTTTCGGCAGACACCACATCTTTGTTTGTATGTGGTGCTGAGGATCGAACCCGGGCCACATGCATGCCAGGCAAGCGTGCTACCGCTTGAGCCCCAGCCCCAGCCCCCCAGCCCTTTTTATTTTGTATTTTGAGACAGAATCTCACTAAATAGCAGAGTCTGACTTTGTGAACTTGAAATCCTTCTGCTTCAGCCTCCTGGCTAGCTGGGATTACAAGTGTGCATCACAGCACCCAACTGTCCCATCACATTTAATTGGCCAGAACTGGGTCTCGTGGTGGTCTCCGGTAGCACGAAGGGAACGGACTGGGGAAGTGGGAAGTGGATTGGTCATGATTGATTTGGATCACTTATAATTGATTGCCTGAGCTGGAGACTTTGGTGCATGGACCAAAATCAAGGATCTATTATTAAGAAAGAAGGAAAGGAATGAATTCTGGATGGACAACGAACAAGACTTGCCACAAGTGGTTTTATTCAACAATAAAGCCAATTGTCTGCTAGTACTTGCTAGGGACAACAATCGCTCTTTCACATTGTGTGTCATTGATTTTATGCGTCATCTGAAAGTGGGGTTTGATCAAGTAATTTTTGCCAAGAGCATGCTGTGCTTTTTTTTTCTGATCAAAATATTCCTTAGCAGCCTCTGACTCCATTTGGATTTGCAATTGTGTTGGTCCTCACTGTAAGCTGGACAACTTTAATGATCCTTCTAGGGGTTTTATCTTTTCTTTCTTTGTTGAGAAAATGCATGACTATCATGCTGGAGCCTCTTTTACTCCTATGCTAGAAAAAAAAACAAATTTCAAATAGCTTACAGGGCTTGATGCAAAGATGGTGCAAATAGACAATGCCTCAGGGACTGGAGGAAATGCAGATCAGCCAACAAAATCCCATTTCTCAGCGGTAGAGTGCTTGCCTAGCACAGGCGAGGCCCTGGGTACAATCCTCAAAACCACATTAAAAAAAAAATACAACTAAAAAATAACTATTTTTTAAAAATCCCATTTCTGGATATTGAGTCACATAACTTTCTTTTTGATTCACACTTCTCTTTTCTTTTTTGTTTGTTTAACTCAGCTCATTCTTCATGCTCATTGGCTCTAGTATATCTAATCACATTTTATTTTACAATATTTATACCTAATTTTTTTTTTTTTTGTGGTGCTAGGGAACCCAGGGCCTTGTACATGCGAGGCAAGCACTCTACCAACTGAGCAATATCCCCAGCCCTATAACTATTTTTCAATGCTATTTTTATGCATTGATGATCCATCTTTAGGGCTTGTAATAACTAATAATAAAATGAACACAAAACAAACATAGACAATAATATGAAACTGGTGTGGGAATATTTTAGCCAGTTGGCATTCTCTTTACTAGATCTAAGCTAAGCTGAACCAGACAACTCAGTTTTGGTGGCCCAGGTGCATATTGAAGACCGTGATAATTACCATAAAGGTAACAGTATTTCTATGGAAACTATCATTGATCTCTCATGTATGAAGAGTAGTGAGCAAAATCCTTGTCCCTGTAGCAACTTCTGCCTGTGCCTCGATCATATCCCCTTAGACCTCACAATTCTCACACGTGCTGAGGACTTCTTACTGCAAGCACAGATGACTCTCACCCTTGGAGGTTTCTGGCTGCAGGCGCACAGGACAGGCTGGCAGTGCCCTGAATACAGGCCCTTAACTTGCCATAGGTAAGATAGTCTCCCAGAGGTCCCAGGGGGATGAGTCACACAGTTGCTCACCATAGAATCTACTTGGCACACCCTATGTTAGTGTCCTTCTCCATCTACCTTCCTCTCTTTCCAGGAGTGCTTCCTGGCTCACCCTCCTAAGTGAAACACTTTCACTCAAAGCTTTATCTCGGGTCTGCTTCTGGGGAAATGAGCTCAAGCCCATTTTTTTCTCCTAAATATCCCTGCTGACCATAGGATTCATGAGCCACATTTTGGGAAAAACGGTTCAAGACAACTGTGCTATGCACAAGTGAGCAGACCGTGGCTCAGAGTAGAGGCCCCAGTGTGCCTAGGGTTACTCCATAGTTGGAGACAGGCCCAGAGGGCCTTGACATTCCCTGTGATGGAACTAGCACAGGCCAAAGTCCTGATGCCCTTGGAAAGTCCTGCCTTGGAAGGAAGGACTGACCCTAATTTCTCCACCCAGGCAGGCACACAGGGCCTCAACCCGTCTTAGACTTACTAGGGAGATCACTGAGCAAGGACAAGAACCTGTTGGCATAAGTTGGGCAGGAGGGGAAACAGAGAGGGACAGCTAAGGCTGAAAGGAGCCTCCTGCCAGTTGAAGGGCTGGGCCTAACGCTCTATACCTTACTCCCCTGAACCTCTCCAACTCTTACTCCCAACTCCTCCTACTGAAGAGTTTTCTGGGGCATTCCTTCCTGGGTCTTTCCCCAAGAAGTCCCTACCCAAACATCACACACACACACACACACACACACACACACA